TTTTTTAATTTAAAAAGATACAAAATACCTCTGTGGCCTTAAGGTAGGAAGGGATTCTTAATGAACCAAAACACATAAAGAAAAAAAAGATGGATAAAATTTGATTACTTAAAACTTAAAACTTAAGAACTTCTGTTCTTCAAAAGATATAAAAAGCAACGAACTAGGTGAAGTTACTGATAATCTATAACTAGCAAAGGATCGTAAACGGTATATGTTAAGATATCCTGAAGATCAGTAAGAAGAGACAGATAACCCAATGGGAAAACAGGCAAAAGCAAAAAGCAGTTTATTTCTAAGGAGCAAAAGTTTTTCATATACTAGATGGGAAATAGTATGTAAAATAATTTAAGCAGTTTCCACTCACTTCCAGGGCAGAGAAACACACTTTCAGAGATGTGATGCGTTATCCAAAGTAGAAATGAGTGAGAAACAAGCATCTGAATACAGCTCATGACATCAGGATTTGCCTATTTAAACACTAACCTATAACAGCAATCATAGAGTAGTAATGTTACAGAAATTGGCATTGCCAGTCAAACAGGTGAACCCTGTATCACCTGCTTGGTGCTATGGTACTGCTGTCTAGAGAAACAATTTATAAGAAAGAGAACTTGACTAGAAATAAAAAAACCACCTGGGTCTAATTTCTTCCCCTGCCCCTTTTACCTGTGATGACCTTGGGCAAGTCATTTAACCTCTGTGGGCTGAGTTTTCTTCCCTGTACAAAGGCACTACTAAAATTTGCAGTAAATACCTTCTTGATAATGGCTTACTGCTATGACTGAACAGACAGGAAATGTGAAACCACCTAACAGTTTGTAGCAGAGCTGATGTCCAATATATGTGACTTCTCTTTCCACGTGGCCCCACTTTAAAGTTTTTCCTAAATCTGTCTGTAATGGGTAGAAGAGTTAAACTAGGATTTACCAAAGAATTTCCCTTCTGTTACTATATTTTGGCTTCTGCAGGACGTGGGTGAAGCCTGGGTTACAAAAATAGGCAGAGGAAGGAGGAGCCTGGCAAAAAAGAGTAATTTGAATTTAGCTGTCCCCAGGCTTCTTCAATGGATGGCTTGGGCTAAGTTCCTGAAGGTTAGATGTACAGAATATATAGAAGAAAGGAAAGACTTCTTTCAGTTCAGAAAGATAAGCTAGTCATGTCTCGAGGAACGGAAGCAATCTAAGTCACTTCTTACCTAGATGTAAACCCAAGGGTCTAAACCTAACCCACCTTATAATGAATTCTGTGCCATAACAAACAATGCTATAGCCCGGTTCCAATGACCATAAAAACATTTGGATATCCTTTTTTTCTTTCCCCCCAAAACTAAACATGAGATAAAATACCAAAATAATTAAGTCACCGTATACCTGCTTATACAACAAAATATCCCCAAAATGCCTGTTCTGCACACCACATTTTCCATTTTCAATATTATAATTTCATGTAGTCTTTAAATTTTATTTTAGTTTGAGACATATTTTTCTTTCTTAGCCTTTCATCTCTCACACACACATTAATCAGAGAAATAGAATATTGTAGATAATTGTAAATAATCAATATTCTACAATATTGTAGAATATTGTAAATAATTTTTCTTTCTTAGCCTTTCATCTCTCACACACACATTAATCAGAGAAATAGAATATTGTAGAATTACCAAATGGTTTTGATTATTTTCTTGCATTTTTACCCTACTAATTAAAATAGATCAGAATAACTTCAATGTTTTTATGGTTCATACTGAACATTGGCCTAATTATTCAGAAATTATTTGTTTGAGGGTAAACTTACAGTAACTCATTACAGTAAAAGAAACACAAAAGAAACTACTAAACTTACATACCGGCAAAGTTGCCCTCATTGCAGATCGGTACATTCTATCTAAGTTGAGGTTTGGCCGAAACAGTCGAATCTTATTATCTACTCCTCGAAATGCCTTCAATCCTTCAAATAACTGAAGATAAAAAAGAAATAAAACTTGGTGAGTAATTAAATGAAAACAATCCCTGTGTGCGAATGACTGACTTCCATGGGCGCCCATCTCATTCGTCAGGTAAAGCTGTTGACATGGACCTCAACTTGAGATCATGACATCCAGGAAAGCCAACAGTTGATGGGACTGGTGGTAGTAACCAGGAAAAAAAGAAGTCCTTTTATTACCAAAATCTGGTGGGAATTCAGACTTACCCTTTGCTTAGCAGGAGCCACATTGCTAAATCAAAACATCAACGGAGGTGGGAAGAAAACATCTCAGATAAATCACGCAACATGGGTTAACTGCCCAGACCATGGAGATTGAAACCAAAGGCTTTGCGCATCCTGCCCTACCCCCTAAAAGTACCCATGTATCCTTGCATTTAATCCGACTCATTCAAATTCTGGATAGAAGATAATCCAGATGTGACCAGTGATGGTTCAGTACCCCAAATCGTAGAAACCAGGCAGCTCAAGGATGTACTATGTTAAAGCTGTATCACCTTCCTCAAACAAAGTGCCACACCAGATAAACTACCAAACAGGGAAAGACAAACCACTGAGGAGGTATTTGAAAAGATTTCGAAGTAGGTACATACTGATAAATACAGAGAAGAGAGAAAAATCAATAATTTTATTGGGAAACTTCAACACAGGTTCTCTAAGTAACTAATAATAAAAAGAAACAAGTTAAGACTAAGGAAGATTTGAACAACATGAACTACATACTTAACCTATGGAACATGCAGAACCCTACACATACCACTTACACACTACACATTCTTTTCACATTTTCCAACAAGATTAAGCCAGAAATCAAATCAAAAATATGATTCAAAAATATCCATATTTTAGAAAATAAATCCATTACCAAATTTTGGGAAAATGGAACAATTTGGTCAGGCTGCCCTCACCTCAAGACAGTTCAGGGTCATTTGGTAAACATTGTGTGGGTGGGGTACCTGCGCCTGCAAAGGCGGCTCCACTTTGCCTGGTTTTTACTGCCTCTGGCGCTGCCCTGCAAGGCCATGTTTTTGCAGACCTGCAGCTTCCAAGGACTGTGTGGCTGGTTGCCTAGCTTACAGACCTGCATGAAGGGGTCTGGTGACCCAGCCTGGTGTGTGAAGGGTTTGTGACCCAGTCTGTGAATGGACTTGAGGGATCTGGGAGCTCCAGACTCAGCCCTAGCTCAACCATCGGCCCAACTGGTGCAGGATTACCGGGGCAGGTAAAAGAGCCGTGACAACTAGCGTGGTCACCTAGCTTTACAATTGGCGTCACGAACAGGATTAAGAGCTAGACAATTGGCACTGTGAGCAGGATTCGAGACATTAGCCTCGCAGTAGCCCTTGTCATAGCCAGACACCAAATAAACCATGGGTTGGACTGGCTGGTTAGCTCAGTTGGTTAGAACACAGCCTTGTAACACCAAGATCAAGGGTTTGGTTCCCTGTACTGGCAAGCTGCCAAAAAAATTTTAAAAATAAAATAAAATCAACCAGGGGTCAAAGAGGAAAAATAATGGAAATTAGAAAATATGCTGAATGGAGTGATAACAAAAAGTAAGGCCTTTAGCGACTTATTGTCTAAAAGCTTACACAAAAAGAAAAAAATATATATACACACGAATCACGTCTTACAATTAAAAAGCACAAAATGTTGTATTTAAGTGCAAATAAATTATTAATTTATTAAATATAATAGGACCACACCTTCAGTTAAAAGATAAAGTTGTCTGTGTGGGTGGGGTACCTGCGCCTGCAAAGGCGGCTCCACTTTGCCTGGTTTTTACTGCCTCCGGCGCTGCCCTGCGAGGCCATGTTTTTGCAGACCTGCAGCTTCCAAGGACCGTGTGGCTGGTTGCCTAGCTTACAGACCTGCATGAAGGGGTCTGGTGACCCAGCCTGGTGTGTGAAGGGTTTGTGACCCAGTCTGTGAATGGACTTGAGGGATCTGGGAGCTCCAGACCCAGCCCTAGCTCAACCATCGGCCCAATTGGTGCAGGATTACCGGGGCAGGTAAAAGAGCCGTGACAACTAGCGTGGTCACCTAGCTTTACAATTGGCGTCACGAACAGGATTAAGAGCTAGACAATTGGCACTGTGAGCAGGATTCGAGACATTAGCCTCGCAGTAGCCCTTGTCATAGCCAGACACCAAATAAACCATGGGTTGGACTGGCTGGTTAGCTCAGTTGGTTAGAACACAGCCTTGTAACACCAAGGTCAAGGGTTTGGTTCCCTGTACTGGCAAGCTGCCAAAAAAAATTTAAAAATAAAATAAAATCAACCATGGGTCAAAGAGGAAAAATAATGGAAATTAGAAAATATGCTGAATGGAGTGATAACAAAAAGTAAGGCCTTTAGCGACTTATTGTCTAAAAGCTTACACAAAAAGAAAAATATATATATACACACGAATCACGTCTTACAATTAAAAAGCACAAAATGTTGCTTTTAAGTGCAAATAAATTATTAATTTATTAAATATAATAGGACCACACCTTCAGTTAAAAGATAAAGTTGTAAGATTGAACTCAGCTGACATCTGAAACAAAAAGATATAGAAAAAGATATATCACACAAATACTTTCTAAAATAAAGCTGGTGAGACTATTGATGGAGTTTGGATGTGTTGTCCCAACCAAAACTCATGTGGAAATTTGATCTCCAGTGTGGCAGTGTTGGAAACTGATTGAGACTTGGGGGTGGATCCCTCATGAATGGATTAATGTTCTCCCTGGGGGAGGAGGGGTAGTGAGTGAGTTCTCGTTCTATTAGTTCCCACGAGAGCTGATTGTTTCAAGGACCCTGGCACCTTCTCAAACCAGGCATAGTAAGAGATTAACAATAGCTAATAATAAAATAGAACAGTTATAACAATATAGTGTAATAATAGTTATATGACTGTGGTCTCTCTCTCTCTCTCTCTCTCTCTCTCTCTCTCTCTTGCTTCCTCTCGCCATGTGATCTGCTTGTACCCGCCGGCTGCCTGCCACTTTCCACCATGAGTAGAAGCAGCCTGAGGCCCGCACCAGATGCAGCTGTCCCAGAATCGTAAGCCTAATAAGACTCTCTTCTTTATAAATTACCCAGTCTCAGGTAATTCTATTATAGCAACACCAAACACACTAAAACAACTATATTACTAAATCCAAAACAACACAGGCTTTAAGGCAAGAAGCATTATTGAAGATAAAGAAGGAAACTTCATAAGGTTCAATTTACTTCACAATTTTAAAACTGTACACTTAGAATGGCAATTATCAAAACATGAAAGATAAATATTGGCAAGGATGCAGAGAAAAGGGAATCCTTATACACTGTGGTGGGAATATAAATAAGAACAGCTATTATGGAAAACTATGGAGGTTCCTTGAGAAACAAAAATAGAACTACTATATGATCCAACAATCGCACTTGTGGGTATATGTCCAAAAGACATGAAATCAGCATGTCAATGAGATGTCTGCACTCCCATGTTCAATGCAGCATTATTCACAATAGCCAAGACAAAGAATCAACCTAAGACTCTATCAACAGATGAATGGATAAAGAAAATGCAGTATACATACACAACAGAATACTACTCAGTCTTAAAAAGAGAAGGAAATTCTGTCATTTGCGACAACATGGATGAACCTGGAGGACATCACATTAAGGGAAACAAGCCAAGCACGGACAGACAAATATCCCATTACCTCACTCTCATATGTGGAATTTTAAAAAGTCAAACTCATAGTAGAGAGTAGAATGTTGCTTACCAGAAGCTGGGGGTGGGGGGATTGGGAGATGCTGGACAAAGTATACAAAGTTTCAGTTAGACAACAGGAATAATTTTTGAGATCTACTGCATGGCAGAGTGACTACAGTTAATAAGAATGTATTGTATATTTCAAAGTTGCTAAGAGTAAATTTCAAATGTTCTCTCCACAAAAAGATAAGTATGTGAGTGATGGATATATTAATTAGCTTGATTTAATCGTTCCACATTGTATATATATATCAAAACATCACATTATACTATTATAAATATATAGTTATACTTTATCCATTAAAATTAAAATAAAATAAAATTGTGCACATTTAATGACATAGAGTACTTCCCCCTTTTCCTTGGTTTCAGTTACCTACAGTAAACCATGGTCAGAAAATAGTAAATGGAAAACTCCAGAAATAAACAATTCATAAGTTTAAAACCGTGCACCATTCTATTCTGAGTAGTGTGATGAAATCTTGTGCCCTCCTGCTCCATATTGCCTGGGACGTGAATCACCCCTTTGTCTAGCTCATCCATGCTGCAGACACTCCCTGCCCATTAGCCACTTAGTGGCCGAGAGAGAGAGAGAAACAGAGAGAGAGAGACCATAGTCATATAACTATTATTACACTATATTGTTATAACTGTTCTATTTTATTATTAGCTATTGTTGTTAATCTCTTACTATGCCTGGTTTACCAATTAAACTTTATTATAGGTATGTAGGTATATGAAAAAACATACATATATAGGATTTAGTACTATCCCCAGTTTCAGGCATCCAGTGGGGTTCTTGGAACACATCTCCCACAGATACAGGGAGACTACTGTAACTTCAAATATATGTAAAGATTATAAAACTCTTATTGAGTAATATACATATGAAATATACAAAAGGATAACACAATGTGACTAAGTTAGATTTATCAGGAACACAGGCTGGTTTAACATTAAAAAATCAATTATTGTGATTCATTATATTAACAGCTTATGTTAAAAGAAAAAAAAAACAATATGATCAACTCATTAGATGTAGTAAATGCATGTGATAAAACTGAACATTCGTTTATGATTTTATAAAAAGTTTCCAAGATTGCTAAGAAAAAAAGAGAACCTAAATGGCAAAGGATATCTACGATAAACTTGCAGAAAACATTATACTTAATGATGAAATGTAAAAGCTTTCCTTTTCAAATCGAGGACATCACAAATTGCCTGTTGCACACTTTAACTGAATATTGTACAACCAAGTATAATAAGGCAAGAATAATAAAATAAGACAAAAATTTTGCTTAAGAGAAATTAAACTGTCATAGGTCATGAAACACAGATGATATGACTAAATACATAGAAAATATCCAGAAAAAATGACATATAATACTCTGAAACTGTTTGTTTAGGCAAGGTGGCCAGATGAAAAAGTATATTCCAATGTAATAAAAATAGTTAAAAAATAAAAACACAAACAAAAATAAATAAATAAAAACACTATTTACAATAAAATTAAAAGATGAGAATACTTAGAAGGGGGAAAAAACCTAACGAAAATGAAAGACCCATAAGAAAAATATAATACTTCACCAAATTATTAAAGACTTACGTGAATGTGGAAAGCAATCTCATTTCATGGGTCGAAAGCCTCAATATTAGGAAAATATTGATTTTTCCCTACATTGATTTATATGTTCGATGTAATTCAAATAAAAATCTCAACAGGGCATTTTATTTTTTTAACAAACTGAATGAAAAAAGCTGATCGACTTGATAAACTGAATCTAAACATTATATGGAAAAGAAAATGACCAAGAACACCCAACATGCTCTTAAAGAACAAAGTAGGACTTGTCCTAGCAGATTATCAGAATCATTCCAATGAGGGAGATATTAAGACAGTGTGGCATTTGTGCAGATAGACAAGCAAAACAATAGAAGAGAACAGAGATCCAGACAGACAAGTCAATGGAATAAAAATAGTGAGCCACGCATACCTGACAGAGGTGGCCTGACAGATTAGAGGGAAAAGAACAGTCTGTTTAAATGCTGCTGGGAAACTGGATATCCACAGGGAGGAAAAAATAAATTGAACCCATACTTCATATGTATTAGTCTGTTTTTGTTGCTTATTACAAAATACATGGAACTGGGTAATTTATAAGAAAATGAAATTTGTTGCTTACAGTTTCAGAGGCTGGGAAATCCAAAGTCCATATGGTGGTAGTGACAGTAACCTGCGGGTCTTATATTTGCAAGGTGGTGGAAGCAGAGAGAGCAGAGAGAGTTTCTCATTCACTCTCTTTTTAAAGATCTACAATCACACCCTGACTGCCATTTTTAATCCGTTCACTACTGCCTGGTCCCACAATCTAATCACCTCTTCAAGACTCCACATTACAATGATCATAATAGGATTTCCCACCCCCTTTACAGTCACAGTAAGTTGAACACTAATCTAGAGAAGATTTTGATTTTTATCAAAGGATAACACCAATTTGAGATTTTCTTCTAAACTACCCTAATCACAAAAATCTAAATTGGTAAAACTAATCAAACTAGCATTCCAAATCATTTAAACAGTTTTCCAAAGAGTTTTCATAATCCAATGGCCACCAAAATCTTTTCTAACTTTCAAAAACAACATTAATCCCTCCTCATTTAATTCCTGTAGGTTACTTGTTCTCAAAATGCGGTCCGTGGAACAGCAGAATTAGCATGACCTGGAAGCTTGTTAGAAATCAGAAGCTCTGGGGGTGGAGCCTGTGCCCTAGGCTTGGCCCTATTCCTTCTTTCAAATGTAAAAGTACTTTATTCATTTGCTCTTCATTACACCCTGTGACACGGCGGCGAGGGCTTGGCATGAATAATGAAAGACCTCATTCCAGTTGACATAGTTAAGAGACAGAGCTGGAGATGGGAACCCAGAGTCTTAAGTTCAACATTTTGTGGGTACACATGGGCAGTGAATGTTTCCAAGATTACTTAAATTTATAATTTTGAACAAGTTAATTGGACAATCCTCCTAGTAATTTTATTGTATATGTTTAAGAGTGGTATAACAGGGAGTAGGAGCTCCACACTGGAGTCCTGGCTCCAGCCTTACTGCTGTGTAATCTTGGGCAAGAATCAACATTTCTGAACCTGCTTCTATAAGGGGTATTCAGAAAGTTCATGGAAAGATTTGTATTATCCTTCAATTAGATTTTTCCACAAACTTTTTGAAGTACCCTTGTATAACAGATGATACTGCTGCTTCAGGGTTAATCATAGCTAACAATTGGGCTCTCTCTGTGCATGTGGCATGGCTCTATATGCTTAAATAAATTACCTTAGTTATACTTACAAGAACACAGTACAGTAGATATTATCACTACCCCGATTATACAGAATTAATAACAGATGATACTGCTGCTTCAGGGTTAATCATAGCTAACAATTGGGCTCTCTCTGTGCACGTGGCATGGCTCTATATGCTTAAATAAATTACCTTAGTTATACTTACAAGAACACAGTACAGTAGATATTATCACTACCCCGATTATACAGAATTTAAAAATTACAGCACAAATCATTACATTTACCAAGTCATGGAGCTCCCTACGGAGTAACAGACAGAATTTGAGCCCAGGAAGTCTGACTCCAGAATGTTCACGCCTAACCACATGCTTTCTCACTTAAAATAATTAAATGAGATGACCCAAATAAGGTATTTAGTACAGGGCATACTGCAGGAATTCAATAAACCAAAGCAGTTATTTAACATTATAGCTATTAATATGTTACTATTACCATCTCTTAGTCCCTTAATAGGTAGACCATTGCTTATTTCCAGAACCTAAAATTCTGGGAAAGATGTCCAACAAATTAAAAAGGACTAAAATAAAACGGAGGATCAAGGAAATGGGGAGTGTATCATGTATTTGGTACATGATCTCTGTGTATCCTGAGAAAAACCAGGGAAATAATTCTCTAAACATTTTATGCTTATAATTATTCCAACTCATGCCTGAAGGAGGACATTTAATTACATGTCCCCTTAATATGCATAACTACACATTACTGCTGGCCATAAAAACACGCAGTTAACTTTAAAATCTAATCATAATATTATATTCAGTGACCCCTTCTGAATCATTAGATGATCTCAGTCATTAGAACAGAGGTGACTTAGTAAAATATTAAGTGTACTAGCTTTATGATTGCTAATTTTCCTACCAACTGTCTTTTCTCTTTGCTCAAAATGATTTTTTATTAACTCAGAAAATTCAAGATTAAGTGAAAAATTAGTTCTTAAGATTTATCCTCAATCCAGCTTTCTACAGGATACATTTTAAAAACATTTACAACATCCACTAGTAAATATAATAAAGCCCATACTAACCCAAAAGCTGTTTTAACAGGGGGAGAGAACTACTCAGTACCTACAGTGGATATAAGCACGTCCCCATCACTAATTCCCAGGTACTTACTTCCACTGCGTAGTGTAAAGCTGAGGAGCCAGGATGCAATGACAGGTTTTGAAGAGGCTTGATATGAGGTTTCTCCCATCCAAACTCTGAAGACCACTCCACTGTCAACATGTGATCCGTGAACACAGTTCCAAAAACGAGAGAATTTGGATCTGGTTTTTCCTTTAAAATGGTGGCTGGTGTGATTATTAGATCTTTAGCCTGGGGAAGAAAAATCAGTACCATGAAAAAAAATAACTGAAAATCCACTGGCTATATGATACAGAGGGCCAAAAGTAAAATCACTTGACTTCTAAATGTTTAACACTGTATGAGCAAAGAAATCCCACCCGTGGCTCACTTGGGAGAGTGTGGTGCTGATAACACCAAGGCCACAGGTTCGGATCCCTATATGGGGATAGCTGGTTGGCTCACTTGGGAGAGTGTGGTGCTGACAACACCAAGTCAAGGGTTAAGATACCCTTACCGGTCATCTTTAAAAAAAAAAAAAAAAAAGAATTCAGCTGTCTGTTCAAAAATCTCTGCAATGTACACTGACTAATAGAGTATCAGAACCAAATTTCAGTGAACTTTAGAAACAGGGACAAAATAGCAGATGGGGTGAAATGATGCAAAAAAAGAACACATCCCTTCTTCACTCATGCTGAGCATTTGGGAAAGATGAAAGGGGTGTGTTCCATAATAAAAACAGCAACACTCATGATGATGTATTAAACTAAATGAGTGGCATTAAAGACTGAACCTCCACTTGGCAATAGCTATGCTCCAGCTCCCCCAAAGAATTCTTGGCATGAGTCTTCAAAATCCCCTGGACCGACCGTAGGAGAAATGGACAAAGTGAAGCAGATGTTATCCTCTTTGAAAACAGAGAAATAGAGGATGAACGCTAAGACATAAATCCTCGGTTCTGTGTTGAGGAAACAGTGAACAAAGGACCTCTTATTCAAAGAAAGATAAATAAGAGTAACAGGGAAAAACTTCACACGGCAGCATTTCACAGACTCTCCAGAGAGCCAGTTTGCCCATTACAAACGACCAAGTATGTAGGCATGGAAACTGCACGCATACCACTGCCGACTTTACTGCAGCTGAATGATGCTGATGGAAAAGACGTGGGAAGGAGCTTTCTGACCAGTGGAAAACCAGTATTAACCAGGGACAGGCCCAACCTGTTAACAGGCTGTAAGTAATGTCAAATTCCACTTTTAATACATAAAAATACTCATTTCCCCCCAAATCAAATACAGAACTTCACTTTATATCATCAGCTCTTATTATATTTTAGTGACTGATTACTTCTAATTAATTCACTGCCTTCGGGCTACCTTAGTCATTTGATATATTATAAATGATAATCAGTTTAATTTTTAGAATAACATTCAGGCTGGAAAATATATTCTAAAACAACCAGAAAGCTCACATTACAATGAAGCATAGGACATTAGGGACAACGTATTACTGTAATGTTCAGGCTAGTCTAGTAATGCTACTTTGTAATTTGCCAGTAAAATGAAAATTTGGAAGGTTGACTTTCTTCTACCACTATTTAATCTAAGTAAATAAGTTAACTTAAAACCTCCTCCTAAGTGCAATAAATTTATTTAAAGGGATATATTCCAGTTAAATTGTATTGATCTTTGAATCCCATTTCTCTCCCATTATCCTCTAGACTAGGTAGGGGGTCAGGCAAATGTCACCTACAGGCCAAACGCAGCCAGCTGGCCTGTTTTGTAACTACAAGTTTTATTGGAACTCAGTCACACATCCTTTTACCTTTAATAGTGGCAGAGTCCACTAGTTGTGACAGAAAGCTGGTGGCCCTCAAGCCTAAAGTATTTATTATCTGGCCCTGTTAACAAGTTTGCTGACCCCTGCTGTAGATGGTTTAGATAAGAACCCCAGCTAGAGTACTGGCAGTTAAATCTCCAACCCTAGCACAGTGCCTGGCACACAGAACAGTAAAGGTTTTCTTAAATACTGATAATGTCTGGCTGATATCAGATGTACTCCCCCATGTGCGATAAACTAACTCCTAGAAGATGGCCAGGACTTAAAGTGAGTGAAACGCTACCACAAACTTTTTATCACATGAATAGGTTCACAGTATTCCTACACAACGAAGCACTTGTGATTCTGCTTTAGTTAGTTTTTAATAGATGGGGAAAATCCTGGGCTACGAAAAATCTGAAACCCTATCAATTATAGAAAGACAAACTGCTGCAGACAGGATGCCCCTCCACCCCTAACCTCACTGACGCTTAATCCCCACTGTAACTGTTGAGGGTGGGAAATCCTATTACGGTGACTGAAAGGTGGGGCTATGGGGAGGTGATCAGATTGTAGGACCCTGCTGTAGTGAGTGGATTAATAATGGTGGTCAGGGGCGTGGTTCTGAGGGCTTTAAAAACAGAGTGAATAAAGATGTTAGTCTCTGCTCTCTCTGCTCCACCATTGTCACAATATGATACTCTGCCTTCCCTGTCACCACCACCAAGGCCTTCACCAAATGTGTTCCCTGGACTTTGGACTTCCCAGCCTCAGAAACTGTAAGCAATAAATTTTGTTTTCTTTATAAAATACCCAGTTCCTTGTATTTTGTTATAAGCAACAGAAACAAACTAATATAGAAAATTGGTACCAAAGTAAGTGGGGTGTTGGTTATAACGAATACTTGAAAATGTGGAAATGGCTTTGGAACTAGGTGTTGAGGAGAGGCTGGAGGAATTTGGAGGAACAGGCTAAAAAGCCTAGCTGCTGGTGAAAGTTTAGAAGGCAAGAAAACAAGGGAAAGTTTGGAATGTTTTAGAGATTGGTTAAATTGTGATGACCAGAATGCTGATAGAAATATGGACTATAAAGTCCATCCTGAGAAGGTCTCAGATAGAAATGAGAAGGAGCTATTTGGAAACTGGGGCAAAGATTAACCTTGCTATGAAGTGGCAAGGAACTTGGCTGCATTGTGTCCATGTCCTATAGTATTTGGCAGAAGAAATTTCTAAGCAGCAAAGCATTAAAGAAGCTGCATGGCTGCTTGTAACAGCCTATGCCAAGTTATGGTGGCAAAGGCATGACATTAAGTCAGAATTTAAAAGGGAAGCAGAGTGTAAAGATCTGGAAAATTTGCACCTGGCCTTGTGGTAGAGAAGCAGAGAGCATTTTCAGAAGAAAAATGCAGTGCTGCTAAGATTAGTACAAAAGAAAGGGATTATCAAGAGAAGGGGGGAAAGGCCCTGATTGCAGAAGCCTCTGGCACCAACTCTTTCATTACAGGCCCAGAGGCCTAGGGAGACAGAATGGTCTTGGGGAACAGGCCTGAGGCACCCTCCACAGGTTCGCTGCCCAGGGCCACCTCAGGAAGCTGCTTCCAGCACCAGCATTCCAGCTGCTTCCAGCACCAGCATTCTAGCTGCTTCACCTGCTCCAGCCATGGCTAAATTGGCCCCAAGTGTGGCTGGACCTGGCTTGTATTTGGAAAATATAAGCCCAAAGCCTTGGCAGCATACACATGGTGTTAAGTTTGCAGGGTCACAGAATGCCAGAGCTGGGAAAGTTTGGGAGCCTCCACCTCGATTTCAAAGGATGTACAGAAAAGTCTGGGGCCCAGGAAGAGATCTGTCACAGAGGTGGAGTCACCACATAGAGCCTTTGCTAGAGCAAGGCTGAGTAGAAATGTGAGATCGGAGTTGCAGAGAAACCCCACCACAGTAATGCCTAGTGGAGCCCTGGGAACAGGACCGCCATGGAGACCCCAGACCTGTAGAGCTACCAGCATGCAACACCAGCCTGCAAGAGCTGAAGCATCACCTGAGACCAGGAAAGCCCCAGGACTTGGGGACCCAACCCCCACACCAGCAAGCAGAGGACATTGAACATGGAGTCAAGGTACATGATTCACCAGCTCTACGATTCAATGCAAGCCCTATTGGGTTCTGGACTTGTTTGGGACTTGTTATACCTTTCTTTTGGCCTAGTTCTCCCTTTGGTAACAGGAATATGTGCCCTATGCTTGCCCCACCATTGTATCTTGGAAGTAGATAACTTGTTTTTTATTTCACAGATGGGACTTAGAACTTCAGAGTTGAAACAAGTTAAGACTTTGCGGATGGAATGAATGTACTTGTGTGTGAAACAGACATGAGTTTGGGGGTCAGGGGCTGAATGCTTTACATCCCCCCCCCCCAACCTCACTGAGGCTTAATCCCGCTCTAATTGTTGAGGGCGGGAAATCCTATTATGGTAATTGAAAGGTGGGGCCATGGAGAGGTGATCAGATTGCAGGACCCTGCTGTAGTGAATGGACTAATAATGGTGGTCGGGGTGTGGTTCTGAGGGCTTTAAAAAGAGAGTGAATGAGGAGGTGAGCTTCTCTGTTCTGTCTGCTCCGCCATTTTTGCAATGTGATACCCTGCTATCACTGAGGTCACCACCAAAGAGAAAGTCCTTCACCACATGTGTTCCCTGGACTTCGGACTTCCAGCCTCAGAAACTGTAAGAAATTAATTTTGTTTTCTTTCTAACTTATCCAGTTCCAGGTATTTTGTTATAAGCACTAAGCAACAGAAATGGACTAATACACAAACATAAGGCAAATTTCCTTCTATTAAGAAAACTGGAAAAAGTTTCTTAGTAAAAGGGGAGGGGTAGTAAGACAAAACAAAAACAGAAAGATGAGGGTGGTTGTAAAAATGGAGAGTGGGCAGAATGAGAGAGCTTTTCAACTTGCTGAATTCTGTATTCATCATAAATATTGCAGACAACAGACCTTGACCTTTTTTTGTCAATGTCAAAATCAATTTGCATGGTTCTTCAAAAGTAACACAAAAGCTCACCCTGCCAGCTGCTATTTCTATCATTAATTAATTGTACCCCCAAACATGAAACTCACTATACATGATCTATCCTTATAGCTTTCTAAGCTCATCAATAATTCTTCCTACCATGAAATGGAAAGGCAATAGGATCTATTCAACTTTACTTCAATGACAATCCACGTAAGAATATTTTAAAAACAAGATTATGGCTTTGCCTTTTATGAAACAACTGTAGGGTGGATTTTTCCCCCCTTCCCTTGTTCCTCTAACTTTCTTCCTTGTCTGCTTTATTATTCTTAGTATTTTGTCTTTTTATGCAGTCATCGTTGCTCAGGCACTGCACTAAGTAAACAGGATGTAGCAAGACGCATACGGCTCACCCTTCCTTCTTGGACAAGCTCACTGTCAGCCATGGACAGGCAGCAGCTCTTGTAGCAAGTATTCATTCATTCAACCTAATATTTTTCAAGTTACTACGTACCTGTACTGCCACAGGTCCTAAGGAATATCAGGGAACAAAACAAGAAAAGTTCTAGTGAGGGGAAACAGTATAAAGAAATACAGAAAGAGAAAGCTTATCTTAGAAGGGTTAGTGAAGGCCTCCCAGATGAGGTGGCATTTGAGCAGAGGCTTGAATGGAGAAAGAAGGTAGACCATGTAGATATCTAGGGGCAAAATATTTCAGGCAGAGGAAACAAGTGCAAAGGTTCTGAGGTAGGAACATGCTTGGCATGTTCAAGAAAGAGCAAAGAGCCCAGTGTGGCAGGAAAGGAGGAAATGTGGAGAAGGTGGAATGGTGTGATAGAGTAAAGGCACTGCGGCTACTGGAATCGGGGAAAGGATGGGCCAAGATAGCCAGTTACTCCATTATATACCGATCCACATTCCAGTTCTCCTTGAGCTCTGGCTCTGTGCAGCTGAGGCTGTATCCTCTCTTCCTTCTTTTCCCAGGAATCTTTATTATAGGCTGCTGGCAATTAAAGTAAGTCCAGTTCACCTCTCTATTCTGGGCAATTTGAAGGAGACATTGAGGAAAAATACTAGAGGCATAGCTATCACGTCTTAATTTTTTGCTGTTTTCAAACTATTAGGAGCAAAGCAGAAAGAAGCAAGATAGGTTAACCAGTGATAAAATACAAGCATCTGAGCAATGCTGAATCTCTACACTTCCCCCTCTGCATCAGTGATTCTCCACCCTGGCTCTTCAGGTTGATAAGATCTTTGAGTGTGAGAGTGTGGTGTGGTTTTCAACCTTGATTCCACTATTAGAATCAGGACAACAACAACAACAAAAAAGAAAGCATGCACCTTGCCTTACCCCTGAGGTTCTTGTTCAGTTCTGGAACAGAGTGTGGTGTGGTTTTCAACCTTGATTCCACTATTAGAATCAGGACAACAACAACAACAACAAAGAAAGCATGCACCTTGCCTTACCCCCGAGGTTCTTGTTCAGTTCTGGTATAGGATCTTGATTCGTATTTTTAAAAAACCTCCACAGTTGAATCCAATATAGTAGCCAGGGTTGAGATGATCATGGCCTAGTATATACAATTTTTAGTTTTCTAAACCTTAAAACCTCTAGGACCACCCATAGTGACCCACTGGCCCAGAGAGATAAAGTTAGATATGCGGTTTCCTAATGATATGAATAGTAACGCTCTAACTTTCCGATTTGTACATAAGGGTTGCCCTATGTCCAGTATTTTAAAGTAATGCACGATGGGATAGCTTCAGAATTTCATCAAGAATTTCCTTTATTTGAAAAAATTTCTGCAACTCTGAAAACTGGGGGAAAAAAAACAAACAGCTTTTAAACTGAGCTCAAAAAAAATTACCTAAGAATACTAAAATAGCTCAAACCAAAACCTAATATACAGAAATCTAAATGAACAAATAAAAAGATTATTTAATTAGGACTTCATCCTTTACTTTGCAAAGACTTCTATGTATAAAAATATAAAGGTCTTTCAGGAACAATTTTATTTACCTATTTCGTTGGAAGAATTTACTTACTGTATAAGATGAACCTTAGAGATTGTGAAGTAGGAGTCTTTTACCTCATTCTTTTTAAGGACCCATATCTCAATAAGTCAAAGTCCTCAAATGTATTAGAACTTAGTCTTCGTAGATTAGCAGAGTAGATCTGCTACAGGGTTATAGAGTATATTATCTTTAAAACGCCAGCAATAATACAGACAAAATTCACAAATTTACTTTAGTAAGAGAACTGCTATATTCTACTATATTAAAAAAAAAAAATCCTGGCAAGCAGAGACCTTATCTTGAATTTCTCTTTGGAATTAACAAGTCAAGTTTCACTCCCTCTCTGAACTCTGCCAGGGATGTGAGATCATTTGGACACTCTGCTATGGATGACAAATGACAGTGACTGAAACAGGCAGGAGAGCAGAACCCTGCACGGTTGGGGAATGGTGGATGACAATTTATAGAGAAAATAACAATACATCTTGCATTTGTATTATTATGATTTTCAAAGTGCTTTATCATATTTGCTCCTCACTGAATTAAGAGATGACTTAATGATTCAGACAGAAAAGAAGGAAATGCAACACTTTCACCGTAAAGTGTTATGAGCTGCTTAAAGAGAAAAATCACAATCCATTAAACGTAGTTAAGATTTATACTAAACTTCACAAGCAGACAAGCATCTAGGTTAATATTCACAAATAGACTATTTTCCAAGAAAAATTTATGATTCATGAAATAAAATAAGCAATTAACTGCTAAGTAATTTTTGATGTGATGAATGGACTATCGTTCCCTAAATGACGTTTTCCCCCCTGAGATTGGAATTTAAAATGCACGGCAACATACATAAACTCCTGTGTAACCCACACAGCAAAAATTCCCCCAAATCTCAACAAAAAATAGATTTACTCAGTTGAATGTTGTTTCAGACACTTAACATCTGGCAAACAAACTTACCTTAAAGGCCTCCACCACCTCTTTTGATCCTCCTCCCCTACATTCTGTGGAGCATCCGTTACTGCAGTCCTTAAAAAAGAATTAAACCGCCATTAAGTAAAGCCAGGTGGGTGACTAGGGCCTGGGGTAATCAATGTGACTCACCATTACACAGTGGGCTCCACTCTGGTGGCCACGCACACACGAAAATGAGGATCAGACAACCAAACACCCAGGCACCTGCCCCAAACAAGAGCGTGGTGGGAGTGCGGTCCTTCAAGTCCCACCCTGCCCGAGGTCGTGGCTGTTTTTGTCCTAGTCCGCTGGCTTAGGAAAGACTAGTTAAATTCCAGGTCAGCCCTACAGAGCCAGGGTTCACCAGCAAAGAACAAGAAGGCAATTGTCTCCCTTATATCCGAGTAAATAATCTAGATTACGGTTTTAAGCCATTTATAGAAAAATCCCCTGGGCCCGCTCAGCCTCGTGGTCCTGTCAATCACTGGCACACAATGGCAAGCCTGGAAAAGGAATGGGGACGGTGTGAACGATTTTCTCCCAGGGAAGGGTCCTCCCGATGCCGGAGCATCCACCCCAAACCCCACACCTTAAGGACAAAACCTCATAGAATTAAGGGGTAATTTAAAAGATAAAGACACAGGGGAGCGGGGCTCACTGGGAAATGGAGAGGACATTAAAAAAAAAAAAAAGCCTAATGTGCTAAATCACTACGGGAGGGAGGGAAGAACGGGATCCAAGGAGACAGAAGGCTGCGCTCAAAATATTTTGGGGTGGCGAAGGCAACGCAGGATGTGACTGTGGATCCTGGCAGCCCGGAGAGGACGCTCCCGCCACCTCCCTCCAAGCGACTTCCATGGCGACCCTCACGTTCCCCTCACTCGTCGCGCTCCGGAGCGGGTCACCCAGCGGGGTGTTAGACCCGACCGAGGGGGACCTCTCCGAGGCGGAGTCCGCAGGGATAGAAGAGACGCCTCGGGGTGCGAGGCGAAGGAGGTCGGTGCAGCCAACGGCAGCGATGCGCCCGGAGGCTCCCGGGCTTCCGAGACCTGGGTTCCAATCCGCCCCCCTTCCGCAGTCGGCCGAGGTCGGCGTACCTGGCGGGCGAGGGCCGCGGCGGCGCGGGGCGGGCTGGCCATGGGGAGGCTGCGGGGGCGCGGGGCTGCGGGCGGCGGCGGCGGCGTTGGCGGCGGCGGCACTGAGCGCGCGGCTGCACGCGAAAGCCGGCGGCGCGCCCCGGCCCCGGCGCACGGGCCGCGCGGCGCGGGGTGCCCCGACCCCCGGCCCCGCGGCCGGGCCCGGCGCGGGGGGCCCCGACCCCCGGCCCCGCGGCCGGGCCCGGCGCGGGGGAGGCCACCGCCCCTCCCGCCTCC